ATATTAAATTATAAATATTTAAATTTATTTATTTACTAATTTAAGCAAAACTAGATTTGACATTAATCAAGTCGAGTTCAAGTGGTTCATCTCATTTAGAGCACTAATCATGACAAAGTGCGTCATAAATCTGTGCATAAAAAATTGTATTGTACTTATTAGAAGTTGACAATGGAAATATTTTTTATGTAATTTTACAATTTTTAATGTTATAAATATAAATAGGAAAGCTTATGTGTTGCATAGATAAATACATAAAAATTGTGGTCGTGGATGTGGATATCTTTGTATTTATATAATTAACATATAATTTTTAATAGCTTTTTTTAGAAAGATTTACATATACTTAACTATTTGGCACCTAAAGTTAAATTTTTATAAATATATCACTTTACATGTGCATGAAAAAGTGTATTTCACTTTTAAAAGTTAAAAAATGATGATATTTTTAAGTGATATGAAAGAAATACTCTTTTCTATAATATTTAAAATTTTAAAATTACAAAAAATTATTATTATTGTGCTTTCAATAAATAATTATTATAAGGCATGAATCTCAATGCATTTTGAGCAATAAATATTTCAAATTCAAAGTCAAGATTAGTTAAGTCTTGATTCAATAAATTTATAATCAAGCTAAATATCCTGCAAAGTCGGGGGTCCCCCTTTGTCCTACATCTCGAGTGTAATCTCAATCGTTTTACCCATCTACTCCCATCTTCAAGCTACCCGATTATGAGTTAAGATGCCAACTTGGGGTGTTAGGTTCGGGTTTGAGGGTTAAGCTCGGGTTTGCCTCTGACCACACCATTGTTTGGTCCACAATCAGAATAGTTTATTAGGTCGGCACTAAATAATTTTCTTCATATAATGATGGAGAAGAGAGTATTATATTAAGGGGCTAAAAATGACTAGGTGGATTGAGCCCGTACAAAATTTAGATTAAATTAAAGTGGGCCCGACCTGAGAGTAAGAGTCAAATCAACTCAAACCAGCGCAGAAATTTGTTAGCGCATACAACGCATCCGCATATAATGTTAGTTCCCCTTCAATATATATATATGAGGGTCAAATTCTGGGATTGAGGTTAAGGGCCAATTGTACGAAAGGCCACCTGACACTTGAAATATTACTTATTAGTAATATTTATCTAAGATACTATTGCACGAAAGGCCAATTGACACTTGAAATATTACTTATTAGTAATATTTATCTTTAAAAACTAATATATTTTAATTATAACATTTTATCTATAAATAAAAAATAAGTGTTTCGCGATTTATTTTCTATAAATGTAAAAAAAATTAATGTTTATATATTAGATATATAAGTTCATATGAATTTGGTGGTATGCATGTAAATGCACCTTTTTATTTTGTGTCACTCGATTAATTTTTCGGTTGAGTTAGGGTAAAAAATTTCAATGCATTTAATTTTTCGGGTGAGGTTCGGGTTGATCGATCGAGCTAAAACTGACCCAAATTTGATCTGCCAACTTGAAATTGACTCAAATTTGATATATTAGACAAAATTGGCCCACATTCCACTTGAACTTGACTCGTAATGGGTCTAAACTTGATTCTAATAATTGTTATGCAAAGTTAAATGTGTTATGTGTGTCAGTTTTGGGTCATTCGTGTTGAAGGTGTGTCATATTTGTGTTAGACTATTTAACCAGTTTAATATTTGAGTCGATTTATGGTCATGCAGTTTTGAGTTGAGTCAATTTTGGGCTAGAGTTGAACCCACCCATAAACCCGATCTAACACCTCTATTTGGCATGATTGAAACCTATATAAATAGATTAATAGACCTAACATTTTGAAAATCAATGGAAATTAGGGTGGTGAACAAAGATCATTTAAATAAAGATGACTTATCAAACTTCTTATTATGTAAAGTTTTTGTTGAAATTGCTACCCAATGTGTAGCCCACTTGGAAAAATAGTCAACATAAAACTAATTGAAGGCAAGCTTAAGAAATACCTTTTTTCATGATGATTAGAGTAGTTCAAGGCAATGACAAACAACACAATCTCACATGAACTTCATTGTTATATGATGTGTAATGTGGTTATGAAGCAAAAATAAAAAAAAATAAGAAAAACTAAAAAAACAAAAGCTAATCATTTTTAGATTAATAGAGAAAAACAATAAAAAAAGGAGGAATACATTCTTCTAAAAATGATGTATTTGACTTAACATATACTTATTCTACTTTATAATAATAACTTTGTGAATCTATTTTTCCTTTTTTAGAGGCTAAAATGATGAAGGAGCCAAATAAATGGACATGCAAACTTAGGCCTATAGTCTAACATGGCTTTCAAGTGAGTTCATCACCACAAAAACTTTAAGGACGGGAACTCGAAAACTCACCTTCTTCGAGCGACTCCCTTTGGTCCTCGACAGGCTTCTTGGCTGAAGGAGACGGAGTAAACAAAATCTTGGCAAATTCATTTACTTTCGATCGATCATTCCTAATTAAAAGAATTGACCAATAGCAAATTCAGTGCCAAGTTGAAACTAGTTTGCTAATTCCTCAGAGTGTGCCTCGGTCAAGACTGACCAGGCAACTTTTGCAAATAAGCTGTCACTGTCCTTGATCACGATCAAGAGCCATTTTGATGTTCCCTCTAGGCTCTCCTTTGCATCTGTAATGTGAGGCTCAATCTCTTCTACACATTGCAAGGACTTCATCATAAGTCTTGACAACTTTCTCTTTCTTCCTTTCCTGAGTAGCGTCAGCCACAGTGTCAAGATGTAAGTTGGTCATGTAATGAGACGAAGACATTCCAAACAACTGGTAGTTGTCATCTAGACGACATAGCTCTAGGGGGTCGAGGTGTCCAACTTGTCCTTAAAACTTGTAGACCATAGTGTGTCCACAAGCCTTGTAGCATGAAATTCCACTCCTGAACCAAGTATAAGCAGTCTCGTTGCAAGTCAATGAGAGATAACTGAAAATTCTTTCAGACGAAATCCTTTGGTCCCTCCTCCTGCATCAGGGGTCCATCGCCGCTACCCCTAAAGAAAGAGCGTGAAGGGCAAGTCCTCACTGTCCACGGGCTCTTTTCCCTTCCTTCAGCGGGACCTCTCAGGGTTCGGGGAACTGCTTTCAGGTTTGATACAGGGAATGGTCCAACCTCGATGAAACGTAAGGCTTGTGGTCACTGCCTCCAGTTTGGCTTCACACCCAAAGCCTGCTTCGTATGGATCAGCGCTCCTAAGAGAGCTCTGCTCTTCACCTGCTGCAGGTTCTGGGGATGGCTTACCTGACGTATCTGACCAAGGATCTTATTGATCCCCAACCAATTGATCATTCGAAACAGACTCAGCATCAGATGTCAGAACGGAAGGAGTTGCAACATCGCTGCCTCATGTGACCTGTCGAAAAGGAAGGTTTTCTTTTAATCAAGGTTAGCTCACAAGTTGAAATCTACTATATAAGGACAATTTTTTTGAAGGTATAAATGAGAAAGTCTGAACCTGGGGTCTTCTTCAGATCCACTTTTCCCCCCTCCTTCAATGGTTTCTTCATTCTTGACTCCTTTAATGGAAGCCTTGGCCACCTTGTTGATTCGTCGCTTCGACTCCTCGACATCTGATAAGGTCCACAACTCTCGGGTCATTCTGCCATACCTGCTTGGGTTTTAACTATGTCCTCACTAGTATACTGGACAATAGAGATAATTTTTCCTTTATAGATGACACCAAACCACACATATGGGGAGTGAGTTTTTATCGCTTGTATGGTTCCCCAGATGGGAGAGTGAGAATTCACAGTCCTTCGCCGAAGCCAAGAGAAAGTTGCACTTCCAGTTTTTTACCTTGTTTTCCAGATCTATCAATTGGATCTTTCTACTTGAAGTAAACCCTAAAGGAGGGCACGTGAGAGAACAATTCCCGTGACCAAGGGATCTTCATCCTGCTATAATAGATGACGAAATTCATGACCGCCTCTATATAGTTCGCCTTGAGTTGAGCGGGAATGATGGCATAGTGATTCAAGAGGGACCAAAGCTCGTGGTATAGTTGAAAACAAAGCCCTTGAAAAAATTGATCACAATACAACATACGTCCCCCCATAGTCACCAATCATCTAGTTGCTTGAACCTGGAGCCTCCAGTACTACGTCTTCCTCAT